ATGATAAAATTATAATTCTAAAATGTTATTAAATCATGTGAATTAAAGGAGTTAAACAAAAACTGCAATAAAAATAAATGCATTGCATTGCTGCCTGTTCTACTAAACAAAAGTGGTCAAGTAATTTCTGTTAGTATGCATGATTTAATGAAGATAGAAGTCATGGGGAATTTAATACTCACAAGGCACATTGAAGACAAGAGAAGAAAAAGTATCAAGTTGCCAACTTAACAAATTTGTGCAAGTGGATGGAGGAACAAGTGCAATAAAGAGGAGAGATCACAAAAGAGAAAGCATTGCTAAGAGTAAAAAATCACAGGAAGCTGTGATGGACCATGATTTCCTATGCCTGAAAAGGATATGGTACACTGAATGAGAACAGGAATAAGGTCAGAACCTGACATGTTATCTACTAAATTTTTATTGTATAATGTTTATTCTATGTGATTATTCCATTAAAGCTTTCAGTCCTAGCAATGGGATGATGGACATTCATGGGTTCTAAGTAGAAACCTATATTTAATAGCAGCTCTTTTAAAAACTTATACTTAATACTTATTTGTTTTTTTAGAAACCTATAATACCAAATTTTTATTGCAATATACTAAATAGATTGAAACGAGATTTTATGGTGTGTTACTATTCATGCCTAAAATGGTGTGTATTCAAAAGATGATGATATTAAAAAATATTTGTTGGGTAAAAGCTTTTTAACATTAAGCTACAAACTTATTAATATGTATGAGTTGACAGCTAAAAAAATGTCAATTTAAGTTTCGGTCAGTATTAACACCTTCCTCACCAATTATTGGGAAAAACATTTCATTTCCAGACAAATTTTTTATTTGTTTTTAAGATAATAACTAAGAAACTGAGGCACCTTAGAGTTGTGAACTGGGGCAGGAATTGGCTGGTCAACTTTAATGCTTCAAAAACAAAACTGCTTTCTATTAATCACCACAGAGATCCTTCCCTGCCCTCCATTAGAATGTCTGACGCTCAACTTCTCAAGAGCAACTCTCTGTGGCTGCTCGGTCTCATGTCAACGGCTGACCTGAGATGGAACAAATACATTGAGTCAATTGCTTCGTCCACCCCAAGGAAAGTTGGCTCCCTGTGCCGCGCCAGGAAATTTTTCTCCCAGAATCGATCCTCCAGATTTACAAATCAACAATTCGCCCTTGCATGGAGTATTGCTGCCATATATGGTCTGGAGCCTCTTCTGTTTGCCTCGGGGTTCTTGATAGGCTCCAGAGGCGGATATGCAATATAATTGGCCCTGATCTGGCATCTCGTCTACACTCACTTTCTCACAGATGCGCTGTCGCCTCTCTGTCTGTTTTACAAATACTTTCATGGCAATTATTCCGAGGAGCTGCGTTCGCTGGTTCCCAGACTTCATGAGTTCAAGCACCCTATGAAGCTGGCATCCCGCTCTCAGCCCTTCACTGTCGAAACTCCTAAATGTAGCCGTCTCTTCTACTCCAATAGGTTCATGTCTCGCACCTCTCACCTGTGGAACTCCCTTCCCTATTCCAGTTTCCCTGAGAGCTATAATCTCCAGCTATTCAAATGTAATGTCAAGTTGCCTTGATCTATTCACTACTCTTCTCCTCATCCTTTCTTTTATCACTCCTATCTGATCTTGCTCCAAATTTTCTGTAACCCCTTGCGTCCTAGTGGCTTCATGCCTTGTTTGGGGTGAAACGCTTAAAAAAAAAAAAAAAAAAAAAAAAAAGTACCTGAGTGATGGCTAACACCTCTGACATGAATTAACAATTGGACTCGTCATCACATTAGGGACTTCATTGAATTTGGGTTAGGTCAAAGTCACCATGACTTCAAAATCACTGGTGTCAATGCCCGACTTGCCTTTGATTGAGGATACCCTCCCACCTCTACTGGTCCAAAGCTCAAAAAGAAGGCCCCCTCCAAATGGTCCATAGTAATATACATGAGCACATTGTGTAAAGTTATGCATATTTTCCAGGTGTCCATGTATTCTGTCTGGAGCCTCAGCATCTTTGTGGTGAAGATACTCCCTGCTAATATCTTCACCACCCCTTCTGTTGCCAGCAGGATGTCTCACATGACATTGGATCTCCTGGCCAACCCTTGGCCTCAATGTTTAAGGCTTACAGGGTGTCTTCCATAGCCTCCCTGTTGACAGCCATAAACTTTCAAACTGTCAGCTGTCAACAGGGAGATTGCCTTTGCTGCTACTGCCTCCATAATGGAAGGTAATGGAAGCAGTCCATGTCCTGAGATGAAAGCACTGTACTCTTCTCTCATGTTTTTAAAATATTCTTGCCCTTTTGGGGGCCTTTCCACCATCCATGCTGATGTTGATGGTTGTGTGGCTAAAGGCTCTTTTTCCTGGGGGTGCCTCTGCCATAGCAGAGGGGAATTCACCCAACAACACAGGAACAAAAACAGTTGGTAAAACAAGTCAAACCTAAAACAACGTTGAGATAAATAACACAGTTATACGTAGCACAATAATTACAAGCAAAATAACTCACACAACACCAGAAAAGTCTATGAATCACAATAGGAATGACTCCCAATCCAAGCAATTATGTTAGGAAATCATTTGCAATAGGAATGATCAATATATGTTAGCCATCTGGTTGGGAATCACAATATTTTCCAAGAGAAAGGGAATGACAGCCAAAAATGAGTGGGAATGATTGCAAAAAGTTTTTCCCTCCCCCTTTTATAATCAGAAGGACACAAAATGCATGCTGGGATATTTTTTCTTAGCCAATAAAATAGGACAGCTTGCATTTTGACATGACTCAGTCCAGATCTGTCATTTCAGGTGGTTCAGGCTGACTTGTTGAACACTCTGCCTTTGGGAAGAGAGGAATCATGATGAGGCTATGATGAAGGGCAGAGTCATGTCTGGGAAGGTAGACAAGCCCAACCCCATGTATGTGGGGTTTATGGGGAATTTTTGCTCAAGACTATGGGGTTGGATTTGCCCCCACATAAAAAACAACCTTATGCCACATCCTGCCTTGTGGGGAGGCAAAGTAAATAACCTCAGCCCATATCTGCCTTAACTACTTGACAGACCTACTGCATTCACTTGTCTGACTTTGCTTTTGTGTACAAACACCAACTCATACTTTGTGAATCTTTTTTCCTTCTTACATGTTTGATTTACTTTAACTATGTTGCTTGCTTACTTGTTTGCATGATTTTTACTATTTCATCATTTTTTTTAACCTTTTTTCTTTTCATTGCAAACTTTATTAATTCTGTTCAGGTTATTTATATTGCATTTTGAACTCATCAGCCTCAACCTTTCATTTATTCATGTTTGATTAGAAAAAAGTTCCTTGTGGATTATTTTTTCTTTACTTTTTCAATATTTCCAATAATATATTTTATTCCCATTAGATACTGGTAAATAAAAATTCCAATTTCTAAGAACTGATGACATAATATACAACAAATATCTTTGAAAATGACTAGTGTTAAGTAATTACAGATAGGAAGTTTTATTTTCCAATACCAGGCAGAAATACAAAAAAAAAATTAGTTATATTGAAAAAGTAAATAAAAATAATAATCAACAAGAAACTTTTATTGGCTTTTAATTGAACATGTATATATTTCTTTCAAATTTGTCTTGCTTAACTCCTAAAACAAGTTTAAAAGTACATTCTTAAAACTGGTAATCATATATGTATTTCTTCTGAATATTATAAATTCTAAGAACACTTTGGTAGCCAAAAAAATGGTTGCCAGCTGCTATTTTCTTGCCCAACAATGACTGGATACAGTGCAAAGCCTGAAAACTCAACTGACTTGGTTATTTTATATATACACTCTCCCAGACCTCCATTTTGTTGCTTTAAGCAATATCCTTTTGGCATCAGTTAGATTTATTTTTTCCTATATCTAAGCTGTAATTATAAATGATAATTTTAGGAAGTTAAAATTTCACTGAAATATGTTGAAAAATTTCCAAGTTTTCAGATAAAATCAAGAAAATACACACTTTGAGTAAAATAGAATATTTGGAGAAAAAAATGTCTCAATTTAAACTGAACTACGTTGATATCATTTGATGACTTCTTACAAATCTGTTGCTGGAGTGTTTTGATAAATCTCTCCATATATACATGACAGGTAACACAGCTACTTAAGGCAATAAAAACCACTAATTAAAATAAATGGTTGTACAAGTCAGTATCAAAATGCGGGTGACATCAGGAAAACAATGCAAAATAATTCACAGCTGCATCAGTGGAACACAGTAACTGAATTGTTAGATTGATTTTACAAGACACCTATTTTCATGGAAACTTGTCTTAATCCAGAGAAAAAAATGCTCATTTAAAGATGAACTAAAATAAAAATTTAGAAAATAAACTAAAAAGGAGGAAAAAAAAGTTTAAATGATTTCTTTTTTTATTATTCAATTTTTCGGCAGCAACAAATCCCCTCCACTTGTACAAGTAAATCCATTAATGCTGACTTGTAATGGGTGAAATTTATTTAATACGGATGTGTAATAGCTGAAAATTTATTTAAAATTTCTCTAATTTATTCTTTCTATGTGAATCTGATAGGTTGGACAAACAGTTTGAGTAAAATTAAACATTTCAAGGTTTTGGTACAGCCAGGCAATATAATATGCCAATCTGTGATATTCAAGCACAAATATTTATTGATTGGCTAGTCACTGAGGGACCTGGGCCAAGTGTCTGCTGACACACCTTGTTGGGAAGCAGACAAAAGATATTCCTTTAATCTTACCTTTTCAGTTAACACAGAGATTCATGGCTTCTTGAGATCTGCTTACAAAAGGATAGATGTCTACTCCTTTTATTTGGTATTGCTTGCTTTTTTTGTTTTCTTTTTCTTTTCACCATTTTCTTTTATGCCACAAATCACGGATGAGTTGAAAACAAATACACTATGTCTGCTGTCTCATAAAATAATGCCTCTTAGGGTTAATTTTTTTTCTAATATGAAAGGAGATTGATCTATAGAGGCTGAGATAGAAAGATCTGTATGGAGAGAGAGAAAGATTTGGAGAGAGATAAGGATATATACAGGGATTGAGAGAGAGATAAATATATGTAGAGATATTGAGAGAGAGAGAGAGAGAGAGATGTGTAGAGATATTGAGAGAGATGTGTAGAGATATTGAGAGAGAGATGTGTAGAGATATTGAGAGAGAGAGAGATGTGTAGAGATATTGAGAGAGAGAGAGAGATATGTAGAGATATTGAGAGAGAGAGATATGTAGAGATATTGAGAGAGAGAGAGATATGTAGAGATATTGAGAGAGAGAGAGATATGTAGAGATATTGAGAGAGAGAGATATGGAGAGAGACTGAGAGAGAGATATGTAGAGATGAGAGAGAGATATGAGATATTGAGAGAGAGAGATATGTAGAGATATTGAGAGAGAGAGATATGTAGAGATATTGAGAGAGAGAGAGATATGAGAGAGAGAGACTGAGAGAGAGAGATATGATATTGAGAGAGAGAGATATGTAGAGAGACTGAGAGAGAGATATGTAGAGAGACTGAGAGAGAGATATGTAGAGAGACTGAGAGAGATATGTAGAGAGACTGAGAGAGCAATAAAGATATGTAGAGAGACTGAGAGAGCAATAAAGATATGTAGAGAGACTGAGTGAGCAATAAAGTCCTTCCTGTTGTTTGTGTCCTAAGTATTATTGTTCATTACCAACCTTTGTGTGATTATTCTATTCAGTAACCTTCCCTAGGTTACAACAGAGATAAAGAGAGAGATAAGGATACAGTGAGAGAGATAAAAAGGGAAAGAGAGAGATAAAAAGAGATAAAGAGAGAGATAAAATGAGGTAAAGAGAGATAAAGATATGTAGTAAGATAGAAACAGAAAAATCTGTAGAGAAATGTATAGATTGATTGATTCATTCATTTTTATGGCTTATGAACATCTTAAAGATGTGTAGAGAGAGGGAGAGATGGAAAGAAGGAAAAGACATGTACAGTCAGAAATAGTGATGGATTTGTTATTTTAGCATTTCACAACATTTTGCAGGTTAAAGTCAAAAAATATTTTTAGAATGTAAGAATTTGGAGGGGATAATAATAATTTACTGAGACAAATCCTACTAAATAGCCCATTGCTGGGGGAGATGAAGTGGATTAAAACCTTTTGTGCATAAATGAATATATACAACCTGATTGGAATTGGAACTTGGCATCCTGATTTCCAATTAGGAGCCATTATCCATTACACCACCTGCACATACAAGCTTAAAGTACCTAGTATCCACAACTGGTCATCCATGTAGGTACTGACCAAGCTCTACATTGCTTAACTTTTGGGATCATACAAGAATTGGTGTTCCAACATTATATGGCCATAAACCAGACAGAGATAGATATAAAATAGGGATAAGTAAAGGGTGTTCCAATAATTTGTGATTTTTAAATGTGAATTAAGTTTAAACATCTAGTGATATTTTTTTCCTTTCAGATTTAACAACCTAAGTCTTTGGCAGTTTCAACCATGAAAGGATTGACAATCAAACAATGTGTTAAAGTGTCAATTGGAAAAATTGTTCATAAATTCAAACAAACTGGGTCAGTGGCAGATGTGAAAACTGCGTGCTCAGTTATGCCGTTCAGTTGAAAACATTGCTACAGTGCATGAGAATGTGGCTGAAAATCCAGACCCCCTCTATTCGTCATAGCATGCAGGAATTGAACCTCTCCACAACAACGTTACATTGTTTCCAATTGCACTCTCGGTTGGTCAATTATGTTGACCCCCAAAAATCGCAAAGTGCATGAAATGCATTTCTGTTTGAACGTCCATTTTCATAATAGGCTTTGATAACTTTAACACGTTGTTTGATTGTTAATCTTTCCACGGTTGAAATTGCCAAAGACTCAAGTTGTTAAATCTGAAACACAAAGAAAAAAATCATTAGATGCATAGACTTAATTTCCATTTAAAATCGGTCCAAGTTATTGGAACACCTTTTATATAGTAGATAAGTATAGACTGTGGTGACTGGTAAAACACAGGGACAGCTGGATTTAATGGGTTAAGAGAGGTATGAATAAAATACAATGTGGATATGAAGAGAATATGATATATCAGTGTTTTCTGAACACTGTCTTTTCTCATACAAATTCAAATGCTTCAACTGATTATAATTTTCTCCTGTTACCCTCAAGAGAGAGAGAGAGAAGGTAGTTATAGGAGAGTGGTTTACACAAATGCTAATCAACTATCAACAATTATGACATGACAGAGAAGAGGGATTTTTATCAAGGTAATCTGGTGATGAGAAAGAATACAGGAACAAGTGAATCTGCACCCCCAAGAGCTTTAATGGGAACCAGTCATAAGCAGACTCATCTCAGTTCTGTTTTCTATGCTGATGAGGATAATTTCACTTAGAAGATCCACATCAGAAACAGATTAATATCACTCAGTGTAAGATTTTTAAAATACAGATCAGTGTCTGTCTGAATTTCTGGCATCAGCAGTTATCATTTACATGCAGACTATTGTCCTAATCTTTGTTGCTGTTATTACAACATTTCCACCATTATAGCCTCTGGCCTGCTTCAGATGCTTGTCAATCCGGGAATTCCAAACTGAACCCTTTATTTAATCTATAGGGAAGAGATGATTCTTGCTTTATTGCCCATGTCTAGAGATAAATCGTCTAGTTCTTATTTTTAATACTGCTATTACTCGCCCAGTTTTCATCGAGTCTATAGTGGTGTGGGGCTTTGGGGTTAAAATGAACAATTGATTTACTTAGTTTTCTTGGATTGTTGAAATAAAGTTCTTTGAAGTGGCAAGGACTTGGTTAAGGCCGATAATATAATTAGCAAATAATTTGACACTGGTGAAAATCTAAATGCTGGACATGTGAACAGAAACAAAACTTTTCAGATGCTTTTCTCTTGTTAATATTTTTCCTTATTTTATATCAAAATGGATTTTGCATAGGCTCCCTTTCCTTTTTCTTGGCTCAACTGCTAATTTCTGTGAAGACACGGTTTTCATTGGTTTAAAGAAAATTTCACATAGGCTCACAAATATTTTTCCATCTTTTTCCTAAGTTTGCACGAATTTGAAGGGAGTGGATAAAGGAGTTATTATTTCGTACTCACCACATGTCAATTACACTACCTGCCCTAGGGATTGAACTCACAATTACTATGTTACCAAATTCATATGACTAACATTTTAATCCACCAGGCTATTGTTCTGTGGGACTATATTTTAGTATTTAGACTTTGTGGAAGTAGGTTGAACAAGAACTGAGCAAAAAGTATTCAATAGAAATACATACATAATGAAGAGTGTGATGTTAATGTTTAGAATGAATCAAATTTGAATACATGTGTGAAATAAGAAAATTAACAAAATCCTTTGAAAATCAACTTGGGAATGCACAAAAATCAAAGAAAATAGTAACTCAAAGAGACTGGAAGAGATCATTGGAGCTTTTAAAAAAGAACAAGACGAGAGATGAGTAATCGATAAAAAAGCAAACGGGTGGAGGAGAAAATGATAAGGAAGGATAATAGGTGAAGCAAAGGGCTGGTTGAATGGTGCTCAATGGATAATAAATGTAGAAGACCAGGCAGAAAATGGAAACGTGAGATGGAAAAGTTTGCTGGTAGTACATGGTAGAACATGGCACAGACAATGTCAATATGAACAAGGTCGGGGAAGGACTTCTTACAACAACAGATTCAAACAGTTGATAGTATATATGTATATTTCTGCAAACAATCACACAGTAGCCTCATGCCATATAATTATTTATTTATAAACATGCTTTGGTCTTATGGCCTATATATACATAAGCACATAAAAGCATATCAAGTGTGGTTGAGATGATAGACATAAAAGTTAGGTATTCACCAAAAGTATTCAATTATACCTGATCATATGTTACAATGAAATGTAATGCACTTAAGAGTATCAGCTAATTCATTCAATCTTCCTCTTCTTGTCAAGGCATGTTAATAATACAATTCTCATTTGATAAAGCATCATTGATTTTAATATAATACAGTCAAAGGCTGATTCAAAAGTGAACATCAAGTATACTTTCAAAAATGTGTTTTTGAATTTCAGAAGTTTCCAATAAAATATTTTCACTGTTATTTTATTACATAATTTTACTCCATTTTATTAACATTCATTCACGACACTTTCGATTAATAAAATATTTGGCTGCTACAGTAAAGTAGTAAAAAAAAAAAAAACATAAATAAAGAAGATTCTGTGAGTTGAGTTCAAGCCTCATTGGGAACTTATTTATGACTGTACAATGTTTGCTTTAACAATCAAAAACAATTATCAACCAAGAAGCTTGTGAGAAATGCAAACATAAATGAAAGAAAATTAGTAAGTAAAAGATATAAATGCTTCATGTAAAAACTTGAAAAATTTAATTGATTTTTTTTCTTTTGTTTTTGCAACTTAGGTTGGTTTTGTTGGATTTGTTTAACAGAGAGTCAACACTAATGTGTCATTTTATGCCAACAAGGGGAATCCATTTATTACATATACATACACACATTTTATCATTTAAGTTATTTTTAGTGGATACCCATATTTAAGTAGATCCCCTGTTTATTTATTAAAGAGTATATTTTTTTATATGAGCACATGGTCAAGTGGTTAGAATGTTCACTTTCTGACCATGAGACCTGGGTTTGAATCTCATTACAATTGATTTGTCAGAAAGGAGACTTCCTGATGTTATCAGACTGGAGGGGTGGATCCCAGTATGTGGCACCTTTGGAAAGTGTCTGAAAATCATACCACAGGTTGACCCAAGCCTCGTGAGGGAAATTGGGTAAACGGAACCCTTGGGGGCCATTGATAGCTGTGCTAGCACAAAGTCACAAGTCATTGTGGCCGAGGGCTTGAGTGTGCTTGTTCAAATTGTTGATCACGCTAGATAACACGCTCTTTTCCAGAAACTGTAACTAAGGTCTGTTCAGCATAGTTGCAGTATAAACCACAGGTGGGCTCTGTGGATGTAGAATAAACACAAATGAGCCTGAGCAAGCGTCTGCAATAGGGATTGGCTAGTCAGCCTAGTAGACTGGTATCCTCGAACAGAAGTGGACAACTACACTAAATTTTTTATACTGTTTAATAAATACACAAATATAGGTGTTCACTTACCATTTTAAGTAATAAAATCTGTTGGATTAATAAATAAAAATCTATCACTTCTTTAGAAATTACATACATATATATTTCTTTTTCTTTATTTCCAATAATTGGAGGGGCTCAGTTTGGTAGCTACAATTCATTTTAAATATTTTGTTTGATGTGTCAATTTGAAATGTTTAAATCCAATTCTTTTATAAGCAACTTAGTATATTGACCAATATTTGGCTTGCTTAGGTATGCACAAGAATTAGTATTAAATAGTTTTAATTTTCTGTGCTTGAGTTTAATAAATAGAAAAGAAATCTATTCCAATACCATTAAACTATTCTAATTTGTAGAATTCTTGAATACGGTATAAAATAATGTATTTAGTAACTCTTTTTGTTTATTGAAGTTTTTTTTTTATTTTTTTGAGTTGCTTAAACCACACTGATATTAATCATAGAGTTGCTTAAGATTTAGTCAAACTAGAGTACAGTCGTTTATAATCAAGATCCTTATAAAAAAAAGGTGTATCACTGTAATGTATTATAAGTGCTAATTAACTTGTACTTGACATTTCTGATACATTTTCATCTATAGGTGCCAACAAGTTTATTCGCAGTGATACTTTTAGTGTGACAACAATGTTAAGACTTCAGTTGAAGCTATAAATCAACTCATAAAAATGTTTTATTGTCTATGTTGACTATTACATAGTTGGTGTTTAAAGT